ATCAATCCTGTTCCTTCAGGAGTCCATGAGCAGTCAGAAGCAAGCCCAGGTCATCGCAGGGGGTTTGGTTTACTTGAGCATGTTCAGGCGTCCTCTCCTGGGAAGCCTGAACCATATATGGAGGTTCATCGAGGAGTTCCGTGGCTACCCCCCAGTGATTAAGCTCCCCATTCTGGATGGAGTCAAGGTTGAGGTGGCCAGGTTCCTGTGCCTAGTTCCTTTGGCGAAGTTGGACTTCCGGTTGAACATCTCTGCAGAGGTCACAGCCAGCGACGCTTCGACGACGGGGGGAGGCTTGACAGTCAGCACGGGCTTGACTGGGTTCGGAGTAGCGGCATCGGAGACGAGCACGAGGGGCGACCTGGCAGAACCTCATGACCTTCATGGAGTACTGACCGTTGGCCTCTTTGATGGTATAGGAGCCCTTCGGGTAGCAGCAGATGCCTGTGGGCTAGCCGTGGTAGGGCACATCAGCGTCGAGGTGAACAAGGCAGCCAGCCGAGTGCTTGAGAGCAAGTTCCCGGCCACGGTGTTCGTTGCAGAAGGCGTGGAAGCGGTCACCGAGGAGGAGGTGCAACGTTGGGCCTGCCAGTTTTCTCAGGCGTCGCTGGTCCTCATTGGAGCTGGACCCCCATGTCAAGGAGTGAGTGGACTCAACGTGGACCGCCGGGGAGCGTTGCGAGACCATCGCAGCTCCTTATTTACCCATGTGGCACGCATCCGGGACATGGTCAAGCAGAAGTTCACGTGGGCTCAGGTGCGGTACCTTGCCGAGAATGTGGCCAGCATGGATTCCCATGATCGGGAGGTCATGACAAAGTCATTTGGTGACCTCCCCATACAGATTGACGCCAGTGGTGTTTCCTTAGCACGCCGTCCAAGGCTGTATTGGTGCGACTGGGAGCTTAGGTCGGGCGAAGGTGTGTCAATGGGCCCCCTTGAGGGCGCAGGTGATTTGAGGTTCCGGAAGATTGAACTCCTGGCACAGGTGAGGGTCCAAGATTACTTGCAACCAGGCTGCAACAAGGCTTCAGATGAACCCTTTCCTACATTCACAACCTCAAGGCCAAGGAGCTATGCAGGCCGGAGACCAGCAGGCCTTGACAAGTTGAGCGCTCAGGAAAAGTCATGGTGGGAGGCTGACTCCTACCGCTTCCCGCCGTACCAATACCAGGAGAAGTTGATGGTCACTGACGCCGCGAAGCAGCCGAGACTTCCTGACATTCAGGAGAGGGAGGTCATCATGGGGTTCCCAAAAGACTTTACAGTACAGTGCATGGCAAAGCAGTGGCAAGGTTCAATTGAACACTTGGATGAAAGAAAGACTTTGGTCGGCAATTCATGGAATGTGACCGTAGTCACGTGGTTGATGGCGCAACTTGGAGGCCAATTAGGTCTTTGTCCTTTTCTCTCACCTCAACAAGCAGTCGATCGAACAGCTCCTGGATCATCGAACGAACTGGCAGGACTGCTTTACCGCCCTCCTATGCAGCCGGGGAGGAAGAAGAGCTCACCAGTCGGGGAGCAGAGGTTGGTGAAGAAGCTCCTCAACCTGGTCAGCCTCAAAGGAGAGGATATCATGTTGCAAGCGCCGTCGGAAGACACTCTACGCTACCATAGGCTGCGAGCTAGCCTTCCTGCAAAACTGTGGAAGTGGCGAACTGTGATGGGATGGCGCTGGTCTGGCTCGCCTGATCACATCAATGTCCTCGAGCTCAGAGCAGTGCTTACAAGTATCCGATGGCGAATTCTCAAACGACGTGCTTTCAGGACGAAGATGGTGCATATGATCGACAGTCTCGTGTGCTTGCATTGTTTGGCTCGGGGCCGGAGCAGCAGCCGGAAGATGCGGAGGACCCTGAGCCGAATTAACGCTTTACTCCTAGCTTCGGGGAGTCATGGAGTATGGGCGTATGTCCATACTTCGCAAAACCCAGCTGACCGCCCATCGAGGCGGCCTGTAAAGAAGAAATGGTGAAGAAGTCCAGGTCGCACCTGGAAGGTAGGAGTAAAGCAGATAGGCAAGCACAAAGACGACGATTGGGACCACTTCGAACTTTGACCGTTCAAAAATTTCTGTTCCTCTGGTTGGGGGCTTTGTTTTGCATCTAGGGTTTTGACATGGCTTGCCTTTGACAGGCTGATAGGCTGATAGAGACAGAGTTGATAGACAATACATGACAATACATTGCCCACGTGGTGGTGGTGGTGGCTGTGAATATAGCCAAAACCTGCATTGAAAATTGCTAAAGCCGGTTTGAGGTCATGTTGCGAATGATGCAGCTTCAGCATTTTTTGCATAACTTTGTTCACATTTCACGACTGGCCATGGCAATGATAAGTGAGTGTGTATATCCACAGTGTGCACAAACAGCTTTACAGCACCAGGTATTTGGCTTCGGTCGTTCACACCGGTCTGTGTCACAAGCTCAAAAAAGATGTCAATCTCACGTTCTCAGCTTTTTTCCACTGAAAGCCAGGCTGAGTAGGTTGCTAGGCCGCCAAACGAAAAAGGAAAACAGCTTCATGCTGTTCTAAAACGTCGAACACATCAACTTGGGCACACCATTTGTACCCGGGGATTCCTTCAAATTTTGCATCCGAGACGAAAAAAACTACCTGCTCATAGCAGCAGACGGTATTGTCTGCAAAGTGCAACACGTAAGCATCATGGATCCAACGCATCAAAGATTTGATGCCTTCATCAGCATCCTCCAACGGTGACCACTCAATAGAGGGATAATCATCAACAGTTAGCTGCGCAGCTTTCTTCCAAGGAATAGCAGCGAACATGTAGAGACGTTCTGGCAAAATACCATCCTTCCACTGGATTCCTTGGGTCAACAACGCACACCTCTCCAATAGTTTTGGTGGGTACAACTACTAAACAACTGTATATATGTTGTCCTCTCAAACAAAATGCTTTCAGGGCACCCACATACTCCTGTTGGCGCTGATCCATTGAAGCGATCGCTCGGAAGTTTGACACCAAAATCTGAGAGTAAAACACGCAACACAAATCGAAGGGGTGTGTACTCAAACTCGGCAACATGGTTTGACCTGTGTGTTTCCAATCCATGGGGGGCCAACCCATGAACACAAAGGATTATACATATATATTTTAGGGGCACTAACCTGCAGGACGGTGTAACGAGCAATCGAACTAGCAGTGTTTACCCGCACAAGAGCCACAGCACAAGTCTAGCTGGTTGAAGTTGAGGTCAAAATGTGTCTGTCATTTTGACCAGTTAGCATTATGTCAAACAAAACCTTGAGAAATTTTTCCCTGCAGTATGCCAATCAACTTTTGACCTCAACCATCAACTTCGTCATCCTCAAGTGGGATTTCCTCCTCGGCGTCTTCCAGCTGCTCTAGCTGGCCGTCATCCTCACACTCCGCTGCCTCAGCGGCACCAGCAGGTTTCAGCTTCTCAAGCGCAGCCTTGATCATGTTTTCCTGCCAATCAGACGCAGAGGTCAGAAGTGGTCAGTCTAGCTACAAAAAAACTAGGCCTCATACAGTTGCCACCTCTAGGTTCTAGAGACGTTCATCAATCAGGATGACCATGTGGATATGAAATGCCATTATCTTCACGGGGAACTCAACGTGGTACATGGGCCTTCAAACTTTCAGCTGCGGCCACATCGCCCGTGGTTCTTCTCAGCTCATCGCGGATGGCCACCTGAGCCAAGAAGAGGTGAGAACATGTGAGAACCCTAAAGAAAAGTTAAAACATATGAAGATGTATGAGTGGTTACCACAGTTCTCAGGATTTCAGTTAGGGGTCCAGTCCCGCATATAAACGCAGGATAGTGCAGAAATCATCAGAAATCCCTTCAATCTCCTCTCAGCCAGTAGTTTTGTCCCAGTGGCTGCAATCTCTTCACGGGTCTCGTCAGAAAGGCCCTCGCTTTCATTTGCTCGGAACTCAGCCAGCAATGGCGCAGGTGAAAGTTGAAAGAACGCATGAATAGGTTTCTTTGAAAGAAGTGTGGAGTTGTGTCCCGGTCAAATAGGTGCAAGCTAGCTACGTACATCACCTCGCTATCTCCAACCACAAATCCATAGCGCTTCGACTCCTTGTAGAAGTTCTTCCTAATACGTGTAGGTTTTGAAGCGTCGCCATCGGTCTTTGAGGCCGGCTTCTTCTGGACCGCTGGCTTCTTCGCTGGTGGCCCGGCTGGCTCAAGAGGGAGAGCTGGCTCGGACAGGGGAGAAGCGGCAGGTCGTTTCAAGACCTTTGGTTCTTTCGCCTTTGGTTCTTTCGCCTTTGGTTTCGCTTTGGGTTTCGATTTGGGCGTTGGACCAGTTTTCATATGTGCTTGTATTATTTGATATTATTTGATAGCAAGTAGCTCTGCATGTCTCTTGGTGGTGGCACTGTCGACCTGGATCATGTTGAGCGTCGGGATAACAAACACTGTTGTGTGAAGGGCATCTTGAAGTAAAAAGGACACATGCACCAACATACTCACACCGCAGATTTGGACGCCTAAACAACAGAACACTCCCAAATTCTTTGCGGCGCACCTCACTGTTGTACTTGCTGAGATGTTGCTGGAAGATAGATATCTTCGAAACATCCATGGGTGGGACGCTGTTGCTGAGGAGGTTGTTGATGTCTGCGTCAGCATGCCGGTGCATGAACCTGAAATGATGACAGCAGAGCTGTCAATTACAACTGATCTAAAAGTTGTTTGCGTTTGGGTGCAAACAGCCATCTAAAAAGAACTAGGATGTCGTCTTCTGACCCCTTGACAGCTGGTTAGAATGTCTTGCAATTATATAATTGTGTTAAGGCACGATTTCTCGATCTCAGGCAGGGTGGCATCCAGGAAGTGCTTGGGGACAATCTCTTTGTACCGTTCCACGGCTGCCAGGAACCCGCCACACACCCGCTGGAGGTTCTCCTTGCACGGAGGCTCAACCAAGTTTGAGCTGATGTGGTGGGCGGTGTTTGCGACTGCTGGGAAAGCATCGCGGTAAATTTTATACCAAATCATTTCCAAGGCTCAACTTCTTTCCCCCAAGGTTTCCTCATTTTGATAGCCAATGCAACATAGTCTTTCTCCATTCGGCTCACCAGCAGCTTGGCCAATTCTTCAGTATTGGTAAGGGCCTTGCTCCAAGATTGAAGTGTTCCAGTACCCGAGCAGTAGTCGTTGTTGAACCACCCACTGGCAAGCGGTTCATGAGTCAGGAATTTTGGCATTGTAAAGCGCGCCACAAGCTCTGTCAGCGCATTCTTCACAGAAGGGGCGATGTTGCGCAAGAGGTTGACTGCTGCTCCACTTTCAGCAGCGCCAAGTTGGTACGCAGCGGCGAACTGTGCCACGCTGTCATAGGCCTCAACATGGACCCAGGCCCTGTCCCCAAAGTTACAAGGCTAAATGAAACCCTTCAAAATCCTTGAAAATCTTGAAAGATCTTAAACATCGAAAAACCTCACGACAAAACCTGGATAAAGCCTAGCCTGTAGCGAGGCAATGGAGAGCTCACGGCTCATGCCCGTGCGGCAAAGGAATTCCAGTTGGTATAGCAACGTGAAGGCGTTTGGCCGTCTTCGGATCGAGGCGCTCAAAGTTACGCCTGGAAAGGGGATGCATCCAATTTGTGGTGGTACTGAAATCTGCCACGTGAATGCCAAAACAACGCCCCCCCAAAAATGCCTCGATTCGTATCCACCACTTTGCTGGAGTCTGCATCAACCACCGTGACATGGATGGTCGCAAAGGACCTGAAACTAGGACTCAGGCTAGGTGTGATATGGATGGTCAAGAGATGGGCAACCGTTTTGTATGTTCTGATTTGTTTGTGTTGGTGAGTTGGTGCAGCCGGGTTGCTTCTTTGTCTCAATTGGCAAAGCCTGTGAGAGAAAACATCCACTTGGGAACCCCCCTCGATTCAGTGCAGTGTTTAAGGTGGGTTGCCAAACTATCCCCCGGCCTCGAAGATGTCATTATCCACCCACGCAGCGTATAGCACCGTGAGTGCACATACTGAACGAGTCCAGCCCTTGACCATGAAGAGCTGTTCGGGTGGCAGGGTTTTAGGGTCCATCCCTAGGTCGGAATCCACCCGCAAACAACGTGGAGGGCTTTTCAGCCAACTCCGATCCAGGTGAGTGCAGCACAGCCGTTCACCGCCAGGCACGTCAGCGCTGGTTGCAAAGCCGTTGAGCAGGATAAGTTGTGTGAGAGTCTTTTGCAGGTCCTAAGACCGATTGTTAGCTCAAGCAACGGGACCAAGACTGAACATGCAAATGGTTTTCCAATGATATGGTATAGGCGTTCTTTTCGGATCAATCCAAAACACATGATCTGACGTCCCCCGGAGTCCATAGTCTTGCCGATGCGGAAGGTGGAATGGTCGGATGAACTGACCGCCGGTTTTGCCCACATCACCAATGCTCATGTAGCTCCTAGCAAACCCAACCATTCATCAGAACCCTGCAAAAAGGATCAGCAATGGGTGGACATGTTTCCAAGAGTTTTATCACGCTGCCATCTGGGTTGTGCACAAAGAAGGGTCTGCTGGAAATGAGTCGTCCAGCCACTTGTAGAACTCCACTGCATGACCCTGAAACAACAAACGATGAGATTCGATGAGATTGAAGCAACATGTTCTTCAAGATTCCACTCATTTTTCCTGGCCTCGTCGCTAAGTTTCGATTCCAGGAACTGATCAAGGCAAAGGCTCTGCTTCCCGACGTTCTCGGTCCTGAAAGTATATATATATATATATATAGAATCTTATAGACACGGATATGGCTGAGTTCTTCAAGAATTGTTTTCACGGTTTCATTATGTTTCATTAGTTTCCTAAAGTTCATCAAAGGTTCAACCACGCATCGAAGAGGTGCATATGGGGGAGCTTCAGGGCATCAGGGGCAATCGATGGTAAGTCTCCGCCCTTCTTGGCCTTCTTGGCCCCTCCCGCCCCTCCACCACTGCCACTGGTCCGCTTCTTTGGAGGCATCTCGAGTCGCCTGGCAGGAGTGACTGTCGGAGCAGTGGAGGGCTCGTGATCGAGTTGAAGGGGTTCTGGCCCTCATGGTGGTTTCTTTCAAGCCGAACACGAAAGGAGTGAACCTTTACATGGCACGGACGATCACGGACGCGAAAAAAAAACTTTGTTAAACAGGTTTGGTGACGTTTCTCAACCGGGGATCTGGCACCCCGGACTGGGTGCCAGATGGGGATGGTTGCGTTCAGTGCCCTCCATTTCTCAGATTTGGTGACTTCGGGTCTGCTACGAGATCCAATTCCCAACGGCCGTCTTGTTTTGAAATAAGTTTACCAACTGACGTTTTGTGACGAGCTCCATTTCCCAACAGCCGTTTTGTGACGAGCTCCATTCCCCAACTGCCATTTTGTGACGAGCAGAGATCGGATTCTTCACAAAACCTTCCGTATCAGGGTCTGTTCCTGAGGTGACCATGCCCTAGACAAAAGCTTTTGAGATGCAAGAAAAAATCACAAACAACTCGGTCAAACCAAACACCGAAGTTGTGCCGAGTGGAGTCCCCGCTAAGCACAAACACAATACCTCTGAGCCTCCACCCAATAAAATTACCAATCCAACATTCACTAACATAAGGATCTGGGAGAAGACCAGGCAGGTTGTGCCGAGTTGGATCCCGGCTAAGCACAAACCACCGAGTCCATACAGCTGTCGATTTTGTGCCGAGATCAGCGTTCACAAACAGCGGGCACTAATTGCCCAGCCCTTCACAAAGCGTAGGCTTGGCACATTGGGCGGATGTAGCTTGCACAAGCTGATTCACAAAAAAAGGATGTTGGAAGTTGGAAGAGACCACTCTTGGAATTAGCCGAAACTGTTGTTCACAAACCAACTTGCGCTGGCAGCTGCTTGTACTCTGCGCTCCCCTACAGGTTAAACCCCCGACTCGGCCACTGCTTCTCGGATGATTTTGAGAGCAGTGCTCATGTCAACCCCATGACTCCAAAGCTTGGCAGCAGAGCGGTGCAAAATCTGATAATCCCTTGCCCGACGGTAGCGGACCATTTCCTCACGGTTTGGGCGATCAACAAGCAAACGTAGGCGGTTTGGAGCCTGGGCTGGGGCAAGGGTGGGCGAGGCTGCACACATCCAGACACCACAAACAGCGCCAAGACTTGCGATTCAGTGCTCTCCTGTCTCCAGTGGTTCTGAGCTTGGGACAGCTTCCAAATCTCTGCCCTGCACATGGTGCGGGGCATTGACCCCCAGTCCGACTGCGGGACCACGAGCGGGCAGCGCCCTTGGGAAAGACAACAGGCGAAGTTATGAGGCTAGGAGGTCGTTGGAGGCATATACTGAGCCATGGGCCAGCTTACATCAACGAACGGGTCATCAAAAATGCCATAGGACAATTTGTCCAGGGCATTGGCAGCCGAATGCATCTCAAAAGGTTCCTGGCCTAAGAGGCAATCAAAGAAATAAAGGGCATCACAAGGCGGTGAAGCTGAGACGGGGGCGCATCAAGGATGCATATTTCCGAAGCTTTTGGTTTTCATCAGAGTTCTCATTGAAAGCCGGCTCGAGAAAGACTGGCCAGGTGTGGAAGGTTTCACATAATAAGCTTCAAGTGTTGGAGTAGGGCCCGTTGTTACACAAAGCTTAGTCAGAAAATTGTAGGAATGAACTCTTTGGTTTCCATCCAAACTCTGCTCCAGTGTCAGGACGAACCTGGTGGTGAGTCTCCAGTGGCGCTTTCAGCCACGCAGGCTGGCAGAAAGAGCAAGGGGTTGGGATCCCAATGCTCAGAGGACATGAACCGCTTTGTCCTGCGAGGTGACAGGGCACCACGTTTGGAGAGACCAGGTCAAAACATATGGACCATGTTGCTTTAATTTATTTATATATATATATACATTGTTCTATCCATTGTCTCCTGACGATAACATCTCCACGGGTGAGAACATGGCGGCGCCTTTGCCAAAAGCTCTGATCGACAGTTGTAGGGTCAACGCCTGACGGTGGGGGTTTACAAGAACTGGTCCATCCAAGAAGCATATCAAGCATATCATATTAAGGCTTAAAACAGGGTGATGTACAGCAAAGCTCCTATTTCACTAACTTGGGGATTTCCTAAGCGCTCTCAAACCCCCTTGAAATACATGGCCTGCGTCCTCCAGCCGCTGCAAACAGAACACATGTGGCGCACCAGGGCCACCTATACCCTTCAGGTGTCCAAAATGCATGAAGTACCCCCAGAAGTTTTTCCTTGTGGTGTTGAAGAGGTGCAGAGAGGTTTCAAATAGACTATTGCAGCCTAAAAGTTGAACTACCTCAAAGTCAACAGAAATATTGTTAAGTCATATGGGGCACCAATCTCGATACCGGTCCATCCGAATGGTTTCCCGGATCTTCTCATAGGGCCGATGCGACGGATCCTGAAAATACTCATCCAAGCATTGACGAAAGGCTTCTGGTGTCCAAAGGTCACTGTGTCGTGAAAGCCATGCCCTCAAATTGCTGAATAGACTGTCGATGTCCTCATGAGAGTGGCCGCTGCTGAGAAAAGTAAGTTGACATCCTTTGAGTTTTCTCAGTGCCACCTGCCACGCAAAGTGGCGCAACAGGGTGTTGTTCTTAGCCTCCTTAGAGGCGTTGTCGGCCTGAATGCATAGCATGATTCGACGAAAGTCGATCCGCCGCTCAAGCGCAAGCTTTGACATTGCGTAGCTCACGATTTCAGCCGTCCTTGAGCTGGTTGTTGAAATGCAATGATGCGTGAGGACGTTCAGAACTAGATGGCCGTGGGCCAACAAACTGGTGCAAGCCATGCGGGGCCTAGCCCATGAGCAGAAGTCCTTGGCGTTCATAGTTGGGCTCTTTGGCCAGGAGTATTTCTGCATGTCCATACTGTCCAAAATGAAGGTCATCTCTTGGCAGCATGGACTGGTCGCGCTCAAGCGGCTCTGCGAGCGATTGAACCAATAAATGCGACGGTCTGCCAGCTGGCGAGACAAATGTCGCTGCAACTCAGCAAACTGCGCCCTGCGAGCAGCAGCGCAATGGCCTAGCTTCTTGATAATGAGCCGATGCCTGATGCAGATAGAGCATTTGGCGTGGTGCGAGTGGAAGCGCACCCGCAGTCGCTCTTTGAACTCTCGTTGCCATACCTGGGGTGCCAACTTCATCGAATCCAAACTTCCAGGTGGAAAGGAACACAGTAAAAACAACTGCAAAGTATTCAGAGCTCATTATGCTGAGACATGGGGCAGTCGAGAAAAGTTTCCGACTGATCGAAGGATCTCTCGTTGCCGCTTGGCATTGCTTGTGGTATTCGGAAAGTGATCCCGGTGGTAAATGTTTGATGGAGCTTCTGTTCATGCTGGGAGAATCAAGCTTTTCAGTGCCAAACCTGGGCCGTTTGTTTGAATTCAGGCCATCAGGAATAAACTCGGCCACATTGGTCCACTGTTCCATCAGAAAGTCGTACACCTTCTTGTACTTCTCTGAGGGTGCCTTGGGCCCCCTAGGCACATATCTACAATC